TAGGATTACAGGCGTGAGCCACCAGCGCCCGGCAGATTAAATCATCTTATTTGAACCCAGGACCTGGGCACTATCCCTGAGTTTTTGTGCTCAAGGCTAACATTCTACCACTTGAGCCACAGCTCCACTTCTGGCTTTTTGGTGGTTCATTAGAGATAAGAGTCACATGAGGGGCTAGGAAAGTGGCTCAGTGGTAGAGCGCTTGTCTTGCATGCTCAAGGCCCTGGGTTCGATTCCTCAGAACCACGTAAGCAAAAAGAAAAAAGCCATAAGTGGCACTGTGGCTCAAGTGGTAGAGCGCTAGCCTTGAGCTGAAGAGCTGAGAGACAGTGCTCAGGCCCAGAGTTCAGGCCCCACGACCGGACCCCAAAAAAAAAAAAAAGAGTCACATGAATTTTCCTGCCTGAGCTGGCTTTGAACCACAATCCTTAGCTGTCAGCTTCCTGAGTAGCTAGGATTACAGGTGGGAGCCACCAGAGTTCAGCTTCTTCAGTCATGTGTTTTACATAGCTGTTATCTTCCTGGTCTCAGAGTAGATGCCCTGCCACGGAATGGTTCTTAGGAATACTCAGCATTGAGTACTCAACTCTTGCTTTGGTTACCATTGTAATCCATTGAATTACCATCCCCCCCCCAAACCTGATGATTGTTTCTGTTTCTTTCTTTCTTAGGTTGTAGTTGACACAGCACAGATTGAAAATAAAGAAGCCTACGCCCCCCAGATCAGTTTAGAAGGCTCCAGAATTGTGGTTCAAGTCCCATCCACATGGTAACTTGACTGTTAACATTAACAGAAGCCTTATTTCTGTGAAAGTTTACACACCTTTGAAATAACTTATGTTTTCAGAAACTCACATGCCAGCTGACACAGCAGACCTTAACTCCGTGTTCTTTTTTTTTTGGGGGTCCGGTCATGGGGCCTGAACTTTGGGCCTGGGCACTGTCCCTCAGCTCTTCAGCTCAAGGCTAGTGCTCTACCACTTGAACCACAGTGCCACCTCCGGCTTTTTTCTTTTTGCTTATGTGGTGCTGAGGAATCGAACCCAGGGCCTCAGGCATGCAAGGCAAGCGCTCTACCACTGAGCCAACTTCCCAGCCCCATAACTCCGTGTTCTATATGTATGATCATTGTTTTATAATGACATATCTTGCTTGTTGCTCTATGATAAATAAGCCAAGATTTCTGAAACAAAAGAACCTCTTTGACTACGGTGTAAGTAACATGTTGATACTCATGATGAGCAGTGTAGTGTTATCTTCCCTTTGTCTCACAGCCTCCAGGTTTTTTTTTTTTTTAGTCCGGTCATGGGGCTTGAACTCTGGGCCTGGGCGCTGTCCCTCAGCTCTTCAGCTCAAGGCTAGCGCTCTACCACTTGAGCCACAGCGCCACCTCCGGCTTTTTTCTTTTTGCTTATATGGTGCTGAGGAATTGAACCCAGGGCCTCTTGCATGCAAGGCAAGCACTCTACCACTGAGCCACCTTCCCAGCCCTCCAGGTTTTTTGTTTTTTTGTTGTTTTTTTGCTTGTTTGTTTTTTGTCAGTCAGGTCATGGGGCTTGAACTCTGGGCCTGGGCGCTGCCACTCAGGCTCAGCTCTTCAGCTCAAGGTGAGCATTCTACCACTTGAGCTACAGTGCCACTTCTGGTTTTCTAGTTGTTTATTGGAGAAAGGAGTTTCACAGTCTTTCCTGCCTAGGCTGGGTTTGAACTGCAATCCTCAGATCTCAGCCTTCTGAGTAGCTAGGATTACAGGTGTGAGCCACCAGCGCCCGGCTAAAAGATCTTAGTTATTTTTTAGTTATTTATTTTTTGGTAGGTGGTGGAGCTTGAACTCTGAGCCTGGGCGCTGTCTCTTGGCTCTTCAGCTCACAGCGAGTGCTCTACCCCTTGAGCCCCAGCGCCACCAGCCTCCAGTTTTTAAACTTAGTAGACCTTTTCTCAGTCACCTATTACTTCTCTAAAGCTTTGTTCTTGACCTTGATCTTGTGTGAGACCTTAATCTTGAGCTCCTGTCTTGACCCAGTATCATTGCAAATCTGGGGACAAACAGCCCTTTTTACCTATTTAACTATATTTGTAATACTTCAAAGAGATAAAAGATTATTTTTAATTTGTAGTTTATAAGAAAAAAATAGCTCCTACAAATGAGTTAAGAAACAGGGCAAGGGGCTGGGAAGGTGGCTCAGTGGTAGAGCGCTTGACTTGCATGCCTGAGGCCCTAGGTTCAATTCCTCAGCACCACATAAGCAAAAAAGAAAAAGAAAAAAGCCGGAGGTGGCGCTGTGGCTCAAGTGGTAGAGCACTAGCCTTGAGCTGAAGGGACAGCGCCCAGGCCCAGAGTTCAGGCCCCACGACCGGACCCAAAAAAAAAAAAAAAAGAAACAGGGCAAGGAGCCAGCTGCAGGTGGTTCATGTCTGTAATCCTAGTACTCAGAAGGCTGAAATCTGAGGACTGAAGCTCAGCCAGCCTGGGTAGAAAAGTCTGTGAGACTCTTACCTTGAAATAACCACCAAAAAATATCAGAAGGTGAGCTATGGCCCAAGTGGTTGGTAAAGCACCAGCATTGAGCAGAAAAGGCTAAGAGACAGTAGTGGAACAAAAGAAACGATATGATGCCATTTTGCCCACAGTGGTAATTGTTTCAGAGTAATAGTACTGAATATTATAATAATAGGAATTTAGGCTAGACTTCAGAATCAGGCAAGGTATATGTTGAGTAGAGAGTAAGTCTCACAGGCTTATTGGAGGGCAGTGGGAATATCAGAGCCTAAAATAAGGGTGCGACCTCAGCACTTCCACATCTGGCCACTTGTCCTTGTAGGGGGCATATAGATTCCATTATGAGGATCTGAATCAGTCTTAGTAATAGCCAGTGTCTTCGAGTATATCATATTAATCTTAAAATGGTAATCTGAGTGAATACTTAACCATAAAAAAATATTATATTGGGCTGGGAAGGTGGCTCAGTGGTAGACTGCTTGCCTTGCATGCATGAGGCCCTGGGTTCGATAAGCAAAAAGAAAAAAGCCAGAAGTGGCGCTGTGGCTC